AATATGTATTTACAGATGAAGAAAATAATTGGATCATCTAAGGTCTATTCTATGAATAAAGAGTATGAGACTAGAGGTTGATATTTTGGTATTAGAGAAAATAAAATTTACAAACAAATTGAGTATTACAATAAAAGATAAATTAACCCTAACCCAACTATTGAATTCTTGTATAACAACTATGGTACCATAAACATCTAAAAAACAAAACAAGGGGGAAAAAAAGGACACATATGTAATACCCTTTGTAATGCTTTAAGCGATAAAAAAAAAAGGGAAAAAAGAAAAAAAAAAACAAAATAAAAATCTGGCCCCAAATGGACAGAATTCTGATTGTTATCAGAGAGTTTAATCCTGCTCACATTTCACTTTTCTCTCTGATTTTTGTATTTTTCTGCCACTGTCTGGTCACTTGATACTATACTCACAAATCCACCACAGTGTGTTGTTATTCCTTTTGTCTAGTCCTGAAACTCAGGAACCCTTGTCCACAATTGGGTTCTATGTTTACTATCATAAGACAAACTAAGAAAAAGACTCAAACTAGAAATCACATTATTCAGCAATGGGGAAAAAAGAAAACCTCGTCTTCGTGTATAGAAAAAAATATTTGATTTTTAAGTCTATGTAACTTTTTATTTTTTTTATTTTTATTTTTTTTTCAAATATATTTTATTGATTTTTTTGCAGAGAGGAAGGGAGAGGGAGAGAGATAGTTAGAAACATCGATGAGAAAGAGAGAAACATCAATCAGCTGCCTCCTGCACACCCCCTACTGGGGATGTTGCTTGCAACCAAGGTACATGCCCTTGAACAGAATCGAACCTGGGACCTTTCAGTCCGCAGGCTGACGCTCTATCCACTGAGCCAAACTGGTTAGGGCTGTTTTTGTTTTTTTTTAAACAATAACAAGACAATGCCAATACAAAACCCAAAACATTTTAAAACTAACAATAATAAAACAATGGCAATGCAAAACAGCAATAAGTGAGTTTCTGCTAAAGGAAAGTTTCTTTTGCTGATTTACTCAGAGTCCTCGGACTTGGCTGAGAGAGTAGCTTCCACTTTGTGCTTGTCTACCATCTGCTGGGCCTCAGTTGTTTAACTTCTTCAGCTGACTCCATGTTGGCACCTCAGTCCCTTGCATAGCCTAAACTCTTGTCTGGTTCTTTTTCTTTAGACTTTTTTTTTTTTCGGTCTTCAAATATTTTTTATTGGAAGGCCATGCATTGCCTTCATTATTGTATTTCAAATCACTGTACATTCACTTTGTGAAAACACTGCCTGCATTTTCTAGTACAAAAAAAAAAGAAAGCTAAAAATTGTTTCAGAAATGTAAAGAAATATGCAACTTAAATGGCGAAAAAGTGTACCATAATTACTGCTGCACTGCAGTCATTTCTGCATTTCCCATGTTTCTTAAATAACTATCTTGTCTGATAACACACAATATAAAGAGCATTTACGAAATACAGACATTTAAATATACTTCTAAAGTCTTATTGAGAATATCCTGTTGGCATTGGATAGCCAATCATAGGTGCAGCTGCAGTAGCAGGATGTGCATATGCCTGTTGGTTCATACCATTGTGCATATTTGGAACATTACTTCCATATTGCTGAGTGCTATCATAACCAGTCTGGTAAGTCCCTGTTGGATTACCAGTCCTAAAACTGGTCTGTATACCAGCAGACACAAAATTACTTCCAAAGCTCCCATTGGTGTAATTTGTCGCACTGTAAACACCATTCTGGGTCTTTGCCCCAAAATCTCTCTTAAGCAGACTAGAGTAACCTCTGTCATAATTTTCCCTGTCTCTAAAGGTATTAAATCCACCCCTTTTGCCTGCAGAGTATCTGTCCCGACGGTCATCCTTCATGCCTCCTCTACCCCTGGAACGACCTGAACCTCTGTCTTCAACCAACTGAAGCAATTTGGGATTGACTGCTTGATTAGCTTCACGAAGCACAGAGATAAGGTCGCTCGCTTGCTTTATATTATTAGGTGTAAAGAAAGTGTATGCTGTGCCTGTTTTGGTACTGCGAGCAGTTCTTCCAATTCGATGAATATAATCCTCTGAGGAGTTAGGGTAGTCATAATTGATGACAAATTTCACATCTTCCACATCTAGCCCTCTGGAAGCCACATCCGTAGCAATCAGAATAGGAGCTTTTCCATGTTTGAATTCACTTAGAACCCAATCACGTTCCTGTTGACTCTTGTCACCATGAATAGCCATGGCAGGCCACCCGTCGCTCCTCATTTTTCTAGTAAGTTCATCACATCTTCTTTTGGTTTCAACAAAGACAATGGTTTTATTCTCCTTCTCACTCATGATCTCTTCCATCAGACGAATAAGTTTTTCATCCTTTTCTACATCATGACACACATCCACAATCTGAAGAATGTTGTGGTTTGCACTCAGTTCCAGTGCGCCAATGTTTATATGAATATAGTCTTTCAGGAAATCTTCAGCAAGCTGTCTTACTTCTTTTGGCCAAGTTGCACTCCACATTAGGGTTTGCCTGTCAGGCCTTATCTGGTCCACAATCTTTCTTATTTGGGGTTCGAAGCCCATATCAAGCATTCTATCTGCTTCATCAAGGACAAGGTAGGTGGTTCGTCTCAGATTTGTTTTTCCACACTCTAAAAAGTCAATCAGTCTTCCAGGTGTTGCAATACAGATCTCCACACCTCTCTCCAAATCTCGTATTTGTGGTCCCTTGGGAGCACCACCATAGACGCACGTAGACTTCAATCGGCATGCTCTACAGTATTCAGCAGCCACTTGCTGCACCTGCTGGGCCAGTTCCCGAGTTGGTGCCAGCACCAAGCAAATAGGTCCATCACCTCTCTCTAGGAACGGCTGATGATTGATGTGGACAATGGCAGGCAGCAAATAAGACAGTGTTTTCCCAGATCCAGTCTGTGCTACTCCAACCATATCCAATCCACTTAGGGCAACTGGCCATCCCTGAGCTTGAATAGCAGTGGGTTCAGTAAAGTTCTGTCTTGCAATTGCATCCATGATGTTTGCAGGGAAGTTTGCTTCGTAAAAATTCAGAACGGGCTTTGGGCAGTTGTGTCCTCTAACTGTAATTTCCTTGCTTCTTCTGTATGTCTCTACTTCTTGCGCTGTGCGCCTGGACAAATCAGGGTGTTCTTGGTAAAAATTCTTCTCAAATTTGGGCAGCTCATCAAGATTCCACTGCTTTTTAACTAGTTTCTCCCCAGGTTTTCCAAACTTCTTTCCTGATAGAGGCCCTGCCCTTCTTCCTCCAAATCGAGGTGCACCAAACCCTCGATCCCGGCCGTGGTCTCGGTCACTTGAATAGCCCGACATGGCGTCAATGATTGCGGTTGGCGGGGAACGAAGTGGAGAGAATCGGGTGGGAAGATTCACTGGTGGAGGCTTTGGCTATAGTGAAGCCTTGCGGGGGTGGGAGTGGAGGCGGGGGCGGGGGTGGTGATGATAGGAGCCGGAGCTGCTCACCTACAGGCCGGTGGATGCCATCTGTTGGGGTCCTGCCCCAGCAGGTCCAGGGGTTCCCAGAGGTGTGGACGGAGTCGGCAAGGAAGGAAGGACACGGGGACAGCGTTCAGTTGATCAGCAGCCTAGCCAGGTTCTCTAGCCAGGTTCTCCAACCAGGTTCTGTCTTTATTGTCCTGTTACATCTGTATTTATACCAGTTGATTTTAATCCCATCCATTCTTTTCCAAAGGTTAGGGCGTTTCTTATCTCCATTCCAAGGTTACTCTATTGTTCTATTAAGCTACAAGGAAGTAACTGAAGGAGATTATCCTAAGTAAAGATTATGTAGCTTAAGCGTGATTGTTCCTAGTTAAAGTGATTAACTACCCGCCTGGCACTTAGTTAAGTGGTTTAAGAATGAACTGTTTTGTGTACTCACAACTGTAAACTTATTTTTTGCCCCACCCTGTATGTACAGGAGGAGCCCCACAAAGACAGAATCCAAGGTAGTCAGGCATTTTAGATTTTTATACCATCCTGAGCTAAGGAAAAGGTAGGGGTCTGGGATCTCAAAAGGGAGGAAGACAATTCACAGGAAGATAAGAAGAGCAAAACTTTGGTAAACAAATGTTTGCCACAGCATGAAGATAAATCTTTCTGGTATACAAAGTTGTCTCTGGTAGCAGTTCTCTTCCTGGTTGGTATAGACCCCCTTTTTAAATTTTTAGGCAGTTAATGGAGAAAAAGCTTTTCTAGAGTCTGCTGGCTCTTAATTGCCTTCAGCTCAAAACAATCCACATGCCAAAGTGGCACATTATGGGAAGGCTATTCTGCTCCCCCTCAAGTTTTTACACAAGCCTTCACAATAACTAGAGTCAGGTGACTCTCTGGGAAGGCCGTGTGTGTGTGTGTGTGTGTGTGTGTGTGTGTGTAAGCTAAATTGCCAAAGAGGAAAAGCAGAATGTTGGAACATGATTGCAACCCACCGTAATTCTGAATAGCATGTTTCAATTGTCACACACAGTCTCATATAACTGCTTCTTACCTGACAAATTGCTTTATTTTCTAAATGAATGCATCATTTCACTTACCACCAAGAGGAAATAAATGTTCTAGGATGACCATGAGCAGAAGTAACATTTCACATCAAATGAAAATTACAAACATCTTCTGTGGAGTCAAAGGCAACCTCAGCAATGGTTTTTATTTTAATTGAAACATATTTTCTATTTGTTTCTTGCTTGTTTTATTTTCTTCTGATGACCAAATTAATATCTGCTTAAAAACATTTTAAAAGAGTAGAGTCCCTGATCCATACAGCTCAGTGGTTAGAGCATTGGCTCACACACAGGTTCCATTCTCAGTCAAGGACAAGTATCTGGGCTGCAAGTTCGAACCCTGCCCTGTTCCGGGGGCACATGCAGGAGGCAACCACTCCACGTGTCTCTCTCACTTCTCTTCTCTCCCTCCTTCCCTTCCCCTCTATCTAAAAATCAATGGAAAATATATACTCAGGTGAGAATTAACAAAAAATAAAAACAAAAGAGTAGAATATTTACTCTGGCCGGTGTGGCTCTGTTGGTTGAACATTCCTGGTTCAATTCCCAGCCAGAGCATGTTATGCCCAGATTTCAAGATCCCCAACAGACCACCAGGGAGCCAGCCGATTTGATGCAAAAGCAGAGAGTCTTTATTCAAGCTAGCTTGGGCCCCCCCATCAGCCACACTCGCCGACGCAGCGGCAAGCGGCCGAGAGAGCACGAGAGCCCTTTGGGAAGAGGGGTTTAATAGGGGGGTTGGAGTAAGGGGAGGAGAGAGGACTGTGGGCCCTGCCGATTGGCTGGGCGCAAGTCTGGGTCTTGTTACACAGGATGTGGTTGTGTCTATGGCGCGCACTTCCCTTGACTGTCATTGGTTAGTTTAAAGAAATCCTGGGCGTGGCTAGCAGAGGCTGGGGCTTCCGGGAAGAAGCTCCTTGCCGAGCACATGGCTAAGGTTGCTGCCCAAAAATGGAGGATCCGGGGCAAGATGGAGGGCGTAGCCCTCGCCCTTTCAAGCACAGGGTTGTGGACTCAATCTCCAATAGGGGGTGTGCAGGAGGCATCTGATAGATGGTTCTCTCACATAGGTGTTTCTCCCTTCCTCTCTAAAAATCAATTAAAACACTTTCAAAAAAGATTAGAACATTTGACTTTGTGGGGTTTTTTTGCAAGGAACCTGTGGCTGACTTCATATAATTCCTGCAGCTTGTGCCACTTCTGAATGACAGGCTGTGCTTAGTTTTCCCAAGGGATCAGCCTGTGGGAGACTCAAAGTTGACCTTCAGCTACGGAGTGAGCCAGGCCGAGGGTTTCTAGGCCTCTTGCTGAAAGAGCTCTCCTGGGCCAAGTGGCGGGAGGGACCGGTCTAGCGGGGGAGCTCAGACTTTGTCCTTACAGCCTCAGTACTGCCCGGGAGACAGTGCCACCTCCGCCTCACCCAGTGTGTAACCCTGGCCCTCCTGACGTGTAGCCACTGATGACTTCCTCAGACAGGTCCTGAGACTCCTGGGCTATGGGGACCATAATACCATTCTTCTCCAGGTGGTAGGACTGGCGACGTAATCTGCCGGACCCAGTGCAAAATAAAAATATGGGCTCCACCTCAAAGAAACTGTAAGAATTGGAAGACAGCAACAGCAGACTATTAAACCCAGTGCGAGACCCCTTCTGGCCTTGTTCCCAGGTGACTGCATAGGTCACACACCCATTAATCTGGCCCAGCTCAGAAACAGTACGGCCACAACTTGGAGCCTTTCTGTGTGCACTTTAAACACATTTCATGCTCTTAGCCCCATTTTAATGATGAAGACTCTGGGGTTTTGTGAGGTTAAGTAACGTTCCCAAGGTCACCCAGCCAGTAAGCCCTGGAGGCTGGGTTCGCACTCTCCAGCCGGGCTTCCAGGGCAAAGGGTAGGTAATTGTTTCACTTGTAACTGAGTCCATTGTAGCTCAACAATGCCTTCTTGTTGTGGAAGGAAGGGATAGGAGCTTCCCAGATAAGCCGGCAGCTCAGAGCCAGGAAGAACCGCCTAGCCTCCCAGAACCTCTTGTCTCTAAAAGTATACAACTGTTTCAAAGGCTTAACTGCCCCATCTCACAACCCAGCCTATACAGCCTCCCAGTCCAGGCTGAGCTGTGTGTATGCTTCCCTACCCCTCCTTTGAAAAAACACACAGTTTTAAGGGGTTTACAGTCCTTACTTAAAAGAGCTCTGTTCTCTCTCTCCTCCGGCACCGCCTCACCTGCTCCTGCCCCCTGAACAAGCCTTCATAACACCATTCTAGTGCCAGAGCTTTGGGTCTCCCAGAGCTCCCCCTGGCCCTGCCCTGGCCAGGGTCCAGCAGTGCAGAGCACAAGGCAGGGGCGGCAGAGGGGAGTCCTGGAAGCTCACTGCAGAGCCCTTCCACGCCTCCGTGCAGACTCTTGCGAGGAATGCTTAGGAAGAGGGGGCTGAACCCCAAGGTCCCGGATGTGAAGGATGAGTGGAGGGAGGCCGTGAAGCCCACGAGTGCCGCCCTGAGAAGGCAGCTGCCTCCAGTTTGGAGTTGATGACTGACACCCTCTGACTTATCTCAGGTTTTGCATACATTAAAAAAAATCACTACTTTACTTTCACAGTGGATTTTACGGTGGCAGAACTTTTTACAGGTTCTCTATGAATGCACTATCATAATTCACAATACTTTTCAGGGCTGAATAACCAAACTTTGTTCACCTCATTGGAGAGAAGACGGAACACACTGATATTCACTATTTTTATTTCTGGTTCTAAATCAATCCTACATTTCCTGCTGGTCCTGAATTCTTGCGATCATTTACCTCTGTTCAGTCATGGGTAAAGTGCAATAAAAGGGGTAGGGGCAATCCTGACCAGTGCGGCTTAGCTGGTTGAGCACTGTCCCGGTCAGGGCACATGCCCAGGTTTCGGGTTCGATCTCTCTCTCTCTCTCTCTCTCTCTCTCCAATTGAAAAAAAATTTTTTTTAAAAAATACACCACCTTTTAAAAAAGGTGGGGGTGGGGGGCAGAAGCCACATGAACTGATGGAATAAAAATCTGCCCCACTGCTGGAATCTAAGACTGATGCAAAGAATTTCTATTTGTGGAAGCTACTTTCTGCTTTGTGCCCCCGCTTCGAGGTATTAATTAGTGCACAAGACTCTCCTGAGTTTGTGTATTCACAGCAAAATGTTCTTGATCTCTTCACTGTTGTTCTATACCTCAAGAAAAGGTGTGCAAGCATGAACAGTGTGTGACCAGAAGCATGTCTGGCAAGGTGAATGCCAATGAGAACAACAGTTTCTGGATGATCGAACATTAACAAGAGTAGATCTAGCTTCTGAGATGCAGGTCTACAGGATAAAGTGAGCTTAGCCAGGATGGGCTAGGTAATGGCCCAATAACACAAACCCCCACGTCTTAGTGATTCAAACATCCAAGGTTTATTTTCTACTTTCAATACATGTCCGTTGTGGATTGGCAGGGTGTCTCTTCCTATCACTCACTCAGGGTTTCGGGTTGAATGTTGCCAACTGCCAGGTGAAGAGAAAAAATGCTCAGGAAAACCTCACGGGCAAGTAAATGGCCAGAAGTGACCCCTATCACTTCCACTCACAACTCATTGGCCACAACTAGTCGACTGCCTGAACTCGACCACAAGGGGGTAGGAAGTGCTAGAAGGTGAGAGACCTGGATTTCGGGGTAAACTGCTCTATCGGTTGGAAGCTGGAGGACAACAGGATGAATGTCCATAGAAGAGCAGGTGCTTTAGGAGTATGACTGCTGGCTTGCTGTGGTAACATGAACTAACACTTTCAACCTGCTGAGGCATCTGAAACCTCAAATGGTTGCACATCATGTGTGACCAGCTTCTTCAACAA